TGTTTTGAAAAACGAGACTCACTGTATCTCCCCCACCCACAACTTCTTTGAGTACCCGGAAAAGACACTGGCTCCAAGTGTCAATTCTTATAAACGGATGCTCATTCCAACAGGAAGAAAGGAATGAGTTTGTCTTCCTAAAAAAGATGAGTATCGCTTTTAAAAAATTTTGCAGGCACCTTATGCAAGGCCTTTTAAGACCAGATTTGTGTCTACGAAACAAATTTCACAGAAAACTGTCACATACATTTTCTCCTAACACTTAACCATAGTAGATACAGTGTCATCAAAATTTCCATAAGTTCTTGGGACAACCTTGAGGTGTCATTGTTGGGCACCCACTGCGTGACAGATACTAAGAAGGGGCTTTGCATTCATCCATTTATTCATTTGTCAAAAATTTCTTGTGCTCCTACTATGTACCAAGCACAGTGTTAGATACTAGGACATAGCAAGGGTCAAAACAAGTCCCTGCTCTTTGGCCCCTAACAGAGGACAAGTGTTGAGGGATTGAGAAAGACTGAAAATAAACAGATTCGTACATAACACAATGCAGTAGCATTAAATATTATTAAGAAAACCAAGGGAGGGCAGGATAATACAGAATGATTGGAGGGTGGGGGTGTGCGAATTTAGATGCAGTCGTCAGGGAGGCATTTCTCAGGAGATGGCACCTGAGCTATGCCCTGAGAAAGCTATAATTGTGCCCACTTTACCGACAAGGTGAGGTATTGCTCACCACTGAGTCCCCAGCACCTAGCAGGCACGTGGCTCCACAGTAAGTGCTCAAGCAATACCTGCCCAGTGGATGAGAAGACTTCAGAAGTGTCCACGGCAGCCTCGGTGGGGCCTGGGGGGGAGGCGCCCGCTGTGCCGTAAGAATACCACCGCCGCACATTTCCCAGGGGCCTGGTCAACTTTCCCGAGCGCTGTCACAGCGAAGGTCGTGTCCTGAGCTTCCCCAAGAGCCCCGGGAGGTAAGCAGGAAGCATCACTCTCCCCACTTTGCAGCGAGGACCCGATTACCCCCGACCGGCCCCCCGTCTCCCACCGCCCGCGGGCATTCTTCTCTTGAAGGAAATAAAAGGGGAAAGTGCCGCCGAAACTTTTGGGGCTGCGCTTGTCCTCTCCCGGCCGGGAGGCGAGGCCGCCGAACAGCCGCTCGCCCCGGCCCCAAGCTCGGCCTCCGAGCCGGCTCCGCGCCAGTGCCGGGGCGCACGGAGGGCC